GGGCCATTTAATCCCCGAACGTTCCAAGACACAATATTAAGCTTCACTGACAACCATTAAGTCTTCCACTCCCCCTCCTTCCCCCACTCCTCTTCACACTCCCTGCTCCACTCCTTCCCTCATAATTAACTTCAGAAAACAAGCCTTTCAGCCCTCTCACCCCTTTCAAAATAGTCAAACTCTTCTCCTTCTTCCTCACCCATTCATCCTCCACTGTTTGAAACAACTCCTTCACTTGCTTATTCTGCCCTTTCCAAGTCAACCCCAGAAGCTTGCTTTCCTCTACAATACCCTTCATAAACTAGTTATCATCAAAACCATCTAAGTCCGAGAGTCTCTGACCATCTCTGATCACTGCCAAAGGAGTGTGAAATCCTAAGAAGCACGGACACGGATACGGGACAAGGATACGACACGACACGGACACGGCGACACGGCAAATCCAAAAAAATTAGGACACAGACACGGCGAATAGTGTATATATATATATATATATATTTTGAGTGTTACTATTTTTCATCAACCTCACAATGGAAAATATATATAAATCATAACTCATAACTAATAAATTATAAAAGAACAATGTTGCAGAGTTAGAAAACCATACTTACAGCAGTCAGCAAAGAATGAATAAATTCCTATTTGATCACAAATTCACAAGTCACATGCAATAGCTGAAATTAAATCAAAGATGAAATCCTATTCATTTACAGGTCAATAAGTCACAGACTCGCACCAGCTGAAATTAAAGCAAGAATAAAGACAACAGAGAAGAAGAAGAAGAAGAAGAAAGAAATTAGTGTCTGTGAAAAAAGAAAAACACCACAGAAGAAGAAAGAAAGATAGGTTTGTGAAAAAAAAAAAAAAGAAGAAGAAAAAAATCTGGGGTTTGTGAAAAATGAAAAAAAAATAAAACAAAGAAGAAGAAAGAATCTGGGGTTTTGAAAAAGGAAAACGAAAAAAAAAAAAAAAAAAGATGAAGAAGAAAAGAAAGAAACTAGGGTTTGTGAAGAAAAAGAAAGAAAAGAGGAAGGAGGAGGAAGAAAAGAGGAGGAAGAGCAGAGAGAGAGAGAGACTGACCTGGAGGCTGGAAGGAGTAGATTTGATCGGTAGCAGGAAGTTGCAGAGCTTCGTCACTTTGACAGAGCAACCCAGACGTCTTTTGAATCTCGTCTTGTAATAGTGTAATGAGTAGCCTTAAATATCTAATTCTTTTGTTTAAAATTGCATATTAAGCTTGAAAGTTTAAAATTATTATGTTCTGACCACATAAGAAGTAAAAATTATTAAATAACTTCATATATTTATACTTTAACCCAACTTTCTTTCAAAAATTATCTTTTAGACCCCTAAAAATAAGACACGCGTGTCGGACACACACCCCTAGCGTGTCGGACGCGTGTCTGCGGAGTGTCCGTGCCGTGTCCACGCCGTGTCCGAAAATTTAAAAAAAATAAAAAATTCCAGACACGTTTTTTGGCGTGTCCGACACGTGTCGGGGCGTGTCCGACGCGTGTCCGTGTCCGACACGTGTCGGACACAGATTCTTTGCCTATTTTGGAGTGTCCGTGCTTCCTAGGTGAAATCCCACCATAATCTCTCCACCCTCAGCCCCGATGTCCCATAAAGGATATGAATGTCCCACTGCAACATCATTGTCATCTAAATCATCCTTTTCATTGCCTGCGCTGAACTCTAGTTGCAAACATTCAGATCCATCATCAATCAAAATACGCCTGCACCCACCCTAAAATAAGCATTCCTTTGTTCTGTAGCACTCGCCATCAGCTTGATCAAACCCCTCTCTTCAACTGAGTGTTTATACCCTCCATCCTCCCTGACTGAAAATACTGGACCACTCCCCTCACCATTCACTTCAGGTATCGTCGCAAGCCTCTGAACTACCGCTGGCCTCCCCCTTCCCTCCCTCTCACCCACTATCCTTACCACCCCAGAAGAAGGAATAGAAGAAGAAGAAGCATGTGTAGAGAGAGAAGAGTTCTCCGAGTTCAAGGCAGAGAATATACCTGGGCCACTACCTCCAGCAACAATCCATTTCTGCTTCTAAACTCGTGACCATTTTTTGCCTATCAAAGGAGAATTAGAGTTGAAAAAGAGAGTGGGGGTAGTTAATTCCTTATAAATAGGGAGACGTGGCCTTTGGGAGTTTCTTCTACTCGAGTTGGGAATTGGGATCCAGTGATTAATGGATATGAGAAAAGATTAGTAAGATGGAAAAAGCAGTATCTATCTAGGGGGGGGGAAGTCACACTCATTAAGAGTACTCTCTCATCCCTTCCTACCTATTTTTTATCTTGTTTCAAATTCCATGCTCTGTTGCTGAAAGGATTGAAAAAATTCAGAGGGATTTTCTCTAGGGTGGAAAGGGAGAGGAGTTTAAGTATCATCTTGTCAATTGGGATCAAGTCTGCCAACCGTTGAGGTTAGGTGGGTTAGGCATTCGAAAAATTGTTCCTTTTAATCGAGCTCTCTTGGGAAAGTGGTTATGGAGATTTGGAAGGGAACGCCATCGTCAGTGGAGAAGAGTTGTCTCGTGTCGTTTTGGTGAAGAGAGTGGGGGCTGGTCATCTCTTCCAGTCACTATTACGGGAGGCGTTGGTGTGTGAAATTCATTCGGAAGGGTTAGGATGTTTTCTCCACACATATTAGATTCAAAGTTCGTAATGACAGACATGTTCATTTTTGGGAGGACCTTTGGTGCGGCGATCAGTTGTTGTCTCACTCCTTTCCTAGGCTTTACAGTATTGCAGCTAATAAGCATGTTTACGTGATTGACTGTTATCAACTTGATAACAATGGAGTTACGTGGGATATGCGGTTTAGGCGGCCCTTTTAGGATTGGGAAATGGAGGAAGCTTGTGTTTTTTTGGATACGTTGTATAGACAGAAGGATATTGGCAGAGCGTGTGATAATATTTTGTGGGTTCCTTTAGCTCATGGTCGGTATGGTGTCCGCTCTATGTTCATCTGTTTGTCCAATTTCGTTGGTCCTGAGTTCCCTTGGAAGTCTGTCTGGCGCTCTAAAGCTCCTCTTCGAATCGCATTCTTCGTTTGGACTGCCACACTGGGGAAGATTTTGACATTGGACAATTTGAGAAAGAGAGGCAACATCATTGTTAATTGGTGTTGCATATGTAAAGATGATAGTGAATCCGTGGATCACATTCTTTTGCATTGTCCTGTCGCGTTTGATTGTTAGAGTTTTATTTTTAGCATGTTTGGCGTTTTTTGGATAATGCCTAAGCACTCCTCTCAATTGATTAACGCTTGGAAAAGGTGTCCTGTCAAAGAACAAGCTCGGGATTATTGGAAGATTGTTCCACATTGTGTCTGGTGGTGCTTGTGGCATGAGAGGAATAACAAATCCTTTGAAGGAAAAGAATCGTCTTTAGCTACTTTAAAATTTCATATTCTTTGTTCTCTGTTCTCTTATGTAAGAGGAAGTGCATGCTCCTCGATTGATGATTTCTTTGATCTCTTGGATTCCATTGGTCCTTAGACCTTTTTTATTCTTGTATTAGGGACACGTTCCCTTTTGAACACTTTTCTAATATATTTTTACTTATCAAAAAAAAAAAAAATAGGGAGACGTGGCCTACCCTAAGCACACAACTTGTCAGAAAGTTTTTACGTAAAATCATTCACACATATTCTCCATTATTCCCTAGTTCGTAGGATCTGAAGTCCACTCCTCATCTGCTCGTGGTTTCCATTCAAGGCCATAGGAGTGAAGATCAGGAGGTGGATCCAAGCCAAAAACAGAGGAGGAACATTCAAGCAATCAAGTTCAGATTGTTTGTGAATGACAATATTTGAAGGTTGACAATTATTCAATTGTCTCAACGTGAGTTATTGAAACCCTCTTCGGTACACTAAATGTATTAATTATATTGATTTTAAAGCCAATAGAGACATTCCTGTTTGTTTTTAAAATACTTGGAAAGAAATTGCTTCCGCTTTATCTTGGGCTACTCAATTCGTTTTAACGAATCAAAGTTTCATGGATCAAATATAAACAGTTTATTGTATCTTGTTTTTATATGCAAGTTTCTATTTGGATGATTTAGCTTTGTTGTGGATGACGACTTTCTGTGGAGACCCATTAGGTTTTATTTGTTTTATTATATTCACGCCATTTGTAAAGGGCGATTAACTTGAAAATTTCCTATGAATGGGCAAGTTAATTGGTATTCCTAGGCTGTTTTATTTTATTCTATATTATTCTGCATTATGAAATTGTAATAATGGAGGCTGTCAAAGACGTACGTGAATCAAGGTGAGCCCAAACCTAATTGCATGGAGATCATCACACCATGGAGATAAACAAGAAAGAATCACAGAGTCCTGGGTTCGTTGCATGAGGATTGCATGGCGTACTTCAAACCAAAGATACATGACTTGCATGCATCCATGGAGAACCCTAGGAAGCACGTCAATGGATATACACCAAAAGGAAGGACCCACATTGGCTTTTCTCTCTCAATGCCGGCGTGTCGCTGCTCCAGCAGCAGCATCGGTGTCACTGCATCAACGGCGACGAGCCATCGCTGCCGCAGTAGCGACTATAAGTCGCTGCTGGCAGCTGGTTAGCGACAATCAATATTGTTGCATTGATATACTCATCACCACACCATTATGAACTTGACTGATGATTTATAAGTAGCATGACAAAATAATACATGGCAGAGCCAAAATAATTTACAAATATTAATAGTAAAATTCAATCACCCCCATAGAAATATATAAAAAAATATTTATATTCCTTGCAGCAATTAAAAATCAGTTTCATAAAAGGGTCTCAAATTGATGCATTACACATATGAAGTGAATAAACCAAAATGGAACATGTTTAGTAAAATAATGCAACTATAAGAAATTGCAGTTATACCATGAGTCTAAAACTCTAATCTACTTAGCAACATATGCAAATCTTAGAGCAACGAAAAGGTGAAACAAGTTTTAACTTTGTAGGTAAGTACCACTTCACCAGGTTTCCTTTTACTTATGCGTTCCACGTCAACATGGCAAACATTTGACAAGGCATGTACTCCTGCATCCTACCAGTAGTACAAACTAAACATCAACGTCCAAATCATAAATTAAATAACATATGAAAAAAAAAAAAAAAAATGTAGACATATAGTGACAAAGATCAATAGAAAAATATTGTGTTGCATGCAAATTTATCAATTCCTAAAATGAAATAAAAAAATAAAAATCTATTGGGGCAGCGAAAGCGCGTGAAACACAAAGATCCAACAAAAACCAACAAAGCAATCACACACAAACACAAGACATACATGGTTCAGCCAAAACCTGCCTACATCCATGGATGAGAAGATTCCATTATGATTTGTAGAGATATTACAACAATAGAGTAACAACACCTCATGTATCACTCCACGAGCCTATCTCCTCGCTGACAGTGTCACCGGTGTTTTTCCTACCCTACCAACCCGCATGCTACCTCTACCCTCCCTCATGAGACTACATCTCTCTCAATCTCATAGGTCTCAACTCACAACAAATGTACCTATTTATAGAGTTACAAGCACAATTCCTTGTTGGAGAAGGATTACAATTCCTTATGGGCGAAGACTTGCCAAACAAGAAATTAGCTAACAGAATACAACTCTAGAATAGAATCCTAATTAGAATAGGAATTTGAGACACAATTTCCAACAATCTCCACCTTGGCTCAAATTCCATCCAGTCAATCGTCACTTCCACAGCATTGATAGGACAATTCTTTTGCAGCTTCAATCTTGACGATACTCCTGCAAAACTCCGATTGTCCACATTATATATTGCTCGATCAATCAAACCTCGAAGGCTCCACCTTGATTACTCGAGCTCCATGCCATGTAACCAAGCCGATTGACTCCACCTACAACTGAAGCCTGTTGCAGTACATGTTGAGACTTCTTGTGTTTTCTGGATCTCCTTCACCTTTGCCTCTGATACCAATTTGTTGGGGCAGCGGAAGCAAGCAAAACACAAAGATCCAACAAAGCAATCACACACAAACACAAGACATACATGGTTCAGCCAAAACCTACCTACGTCCATGGATGAGAAGAGATTCTATTATGATTCGTAGAGATATTACAACAATATAGTAACAACACCTCATGTATCACTCCACGAGCCTATCTCCTCACTAACAGTGTCACCGGTGTTTTTCCTACCCTACCAACCTGCATACTACCTCTACCCTCCCTCATGAGACTACATCTCTCTCAATCTCAAAAGTCTCAACCCACAACATATGTACCTATTTATAGAGTTACAAACACAATTTCTTGTTGGAGAAGGATTACAATTCCTTAGAGGCCAAGACTTGCAAAACAAGAAATTAGCTAACATAATACAACTCTAAAATAGAATCCTAATTAGAATAGGAATTTGAGACACAATTTCCAACAAAATCAAAGAACATATATGGCAGTTTTGGGTAGATAAATTAGTTTTTAGACACATCATGGATCACAAATAACTTAGTCAGTTTTCTAAGCTTAACATTATAAAGAAAGGGAAAAAAAAAAAGGTTAGTACAAATTTATTGTTTTCCCAGACATGTAGTACTCTTAACCTGCCAAGTGAAAAATTGAAGATCCATTATTTAAGTTGAATAACAAACCAAACAGCTTAAAATGCTATAAAGGACTACTTACTTTAACACGGAACTAATTAAGGAACAACAAAAGCTGGTGCTAGCCACTTGGAGTTAACTGCAGATCCTATTTTGCAAGTACAAGGTACCTTGTGCAAAAAGAGGCCCCAAGCAAATAATTGAGAATTTCAAGGTTCATCTTCATTGGGTTGATTAAAGGTACACTGATTGTTAATTGAGAATTTCAAGGTTCCTCTTCATTGGTTCGAATAAAGGTACACTGATCATCTACCACTTTACCTAATCAAATTCATTGTATTCTCTTGCTATCATTTCCTATACCTCTCAATGAGAGAATAATTAACATGGGTTTTAAGATAGGGTAGCCGAGATTGAGAAATGGAAGCAATAGCAGACCAGATTAAAATGTCAGAAAGATGGTAAGATCTCAGGAATAGATATAGGACCAGATGTTGCTGCAAACTCAAGATTGCAAAGCCAGAAAATAGTGCTGTCCTTCATCCACTGCAAATGGGAAGATGCTGGGGAGAGAATACAGTCTCTCCCATCAATTATAGCAAGGATACTTCGCCCAAAATGGCAATTTCTAAACTGGTCCTAGATGCAAGTTTATCTATTTGGTTTCCTTGAATGACTATACTTGCGTTGACTGACGGCATTTATTCAGTGAGGTCTTTAGATAGGACTTCTCATTTGAAGGGTATGTAGGATACATACTGTCACGCCCCAAAAAAAAAAAAAAAAATTCTTTCTAGGTAAAGTGAATTTTTTTTATAAATATGAAATAAAGTACAAATGGAGCAACAAGGGCATATACCCTTGGATTATAAGACTAACAGAAAACATCCCCCTAAGGAGGCATAGCCTCCACACAAACAACAGCTAACAGCAAAAAATAGAATCTCAAAACAACAGCAATGCATCTTGTAGGCTTAGACCAGGTAAACAAGCAACCTCCCACCAAATCTGTTAGCCAACAGAAATAGGATCTTTACACACACCATTATGCAATATAGCCTTTCTTTCTCCCCAAATAGCAGTAGTGAAGATCATAACGCAGACCTTGGACCTTAGATTTTGCTGCTCAGAATACACAATGAACCACTGAATCAGCTGCTGAAAAGAATAAGATTCAGGCATATTCCAATTCAACAGGTCTCTAATCCATCTCCAAATCTGCTAAGAGTAGGTACATGAAACAAAGAGATAATCACGAGAGTCTTCATTTGTATAACAAAGATGGCAGATAGCACCCAGCACAATACCTCTTCTCCTCAAATTAAACCAAGACAGATGTCTATCATGTATCACCATACAGCAAGTGACACTAGTTCGAGGTCTGCAAGCAGTCCAACATAATTTAAACCATGGAACCTTAGGATAGTCAATTCCATGATTTTTTAAAGGTGAACTTGCCCCCATTCCAAAGAACCCGTTTCTTCACCAGAATTAATAGACATAGAGAGACAAAGTTCCTCAACTGATTGACAATAGGACAATGGACTTCAGGTAAATTCCAGGTTCCATTTCTGATAATAGATGAGGCTGAATCAGATTTAGGAAGATCCAAAATCCTACAAATCCTATGAGAAAAGCACTGGATAAGTGACTGCCCATGACACCAAAGGTCCAAGAATAATTTAATCAATTGGCCATCACCAATCTTGTACGAAATATGCTGCACCAGAAGAATCCTCATACCCAAAATATTTTTCCAACAAGTTGAATCATTAAAAGTTGGATTAACAACGCAAAAGATGTCAGCAAATTTTTGTCTAAAATATGCTACACAGAGGCAGTCCTTGGATCTCACAAAATCCCTAACAAATTTGGAAGCAAAGGCTGAGTTAATATCTGATATTTTTCTTAGGCCCAGACCCCCCTCTGACTTAGGAGAGGTCACCATACTCCATCCAAGAGCATGAGTCTTCTTCCCAGCCTCTGATTGACCCCACAGGAAGTATCTGATCTTCTTCTCAAGAGTTGAAACAATGCAACTAGGAAGCATAAAGGAAGCAGACAAATGATGGGTGTAAGAGTAGAGAACTGTTTTAATGAGCTCAAGCCTACCGGCAAATGATAAATTAAGTGCATTCCAAGAATTAAGTTTAGTGGTAAACTTATCTACCAAAGGGCTGCAATCAGACCTCCTAAGTTTATTTGAGCTGAGAGGCAATAAAGATATTTATTAGGGAGATTAACCATATTAAAGTTAAACAAGACTTCAATTCTTCTCTTCCAACACAGGACATCTAGTCCAAGTACCTAAACTTGGTGCATGACTTTAGTCCAATACCTGAGATTTTTTACGACCATCTAAAATAACTCGATATATTAACACCACCAACTAAACAAAGACATTAATCCTCAAATAAACCGATATAACTAATAATATTCAAATCTCATTACCAGCACCACACCACAAGAGTCACTCATGTCGGAATGATAAACTGGAACAACTAAAACAAAAACAATTGAGTCAAGCTCTAGTCTTTCACGTGCCTCTCTATCACGTGCTAATCATCGAGTACCGATTTTAAAGGGGTGAGGTCACAAGGTCATCAAGAAAATTGCTCAACACCACCATTGCTCAGCAAATTGATCTTCCTTTATATTCCCATATATAAAAGCAACTCATATAAGGTATAACTTAGCTCAAGTTATTTAATCAATTCCTATATATTATCACCGTCGGTTTACATAATAATTAATATCTAAATAATTAATATATATTCCAACCACATTTGGCATCAACTACAAAATTCTTACTCAATCTCCTCCATTCATATAATAACAATTAGGGTAAATTACACTGACACCCCTTCAGGTTAGGTCAAATCTCACATAGATGACCTTCCGGAAATATATATATATATATCACATAGATGGACATTTTGGTTTTAACTTTCAATTACACCCCAAATTACTTTTTAGGCTCTGACACATGCGAATTGACTCATTTGCCCCTAATTTTTTAATACAATTTAATACAAAATATCTGTAATCTTTTTTATTTTTTTGATAAGTAAAAATAACATTAAAAAAAGACGTTCAAGAGGGGAACGTGTCCCAATTACAAAAGTGGAACCGGGACTAAGGCCCCAAAGAATCCAAAAAAGTAATTAAATCATATAAAGAAGAACAAAAGCTCCTCTTCACATAATTGAAGAGAGAACGAAGAATGTAAAGTTTGACCGTTTCCGTAGGCAACTCTTTTCCTTCGAACATTCTGCTATTTCTCTCCTTCCAAATGCACCACCATACACAATGTGGTACAATTCTCTAGAAATCGCGAACGTCTCTTCTCACTCAACAACCTCTCCAAACATGAATCAATTCCTTAGTAGATCGTGGCATAACCCAACACATGCCAAACAACCTAACAATAAGATTCCAACAATCAATCGCCACAGGGCAATGCAA